ACATTAACATTACACTATCAACAAACTCCAATTTTTCCTCTCCAACTCAAAAGCATCTCCCACTAAAAATTCCCACTGAACTTTCAAAATCTCCCCAATTCATTAACACTAACCTCCACCCACCACGAACTCACCCTCTCCATCCCCTCGACCGTCCACATCTCCCTCGATGCTCCTCGCCACCCTGATCAGCTGACATCCCGTGACATCCTCGGCAGTCGCGCACGCCGTGGAATTCCCGTGCACCCCGTTATCAAGCACACCCTCGTTATCAACGGTCGCCTGGTCCCGTCTCAGAACGGTGGCACCGCAGACGGCGAGGAGGCCGCACAGCGGCAAGGCAATGAACATACATCGAAGCATGTTCGACGCGTACTGGCCGGCCGAACTGTTTGCCATTTTTATAGGGGGCGGAGGCAATTAACGGTTACGGCATACAGAGCGTGAATGCGGCTCGCCGCGCGGGATCATTCTCTCGCGGCTTTGTTTTTGCCGGATCGGTCTTCGCGAGCGTGTACTTCGTTGATTAATGCTCTTGTACTACGAAGTACCGATCCAGTGATCGCGACCAGCGGTAATTGCGGTGGCCAGCCGCTGTGAAACCCGGACCAGCTTCCGATGCGACTGAAATGAAAAGGAATTGGGCTAATTGCGGGAGCGCACGAGAAACTGAACGCGTCCGGATAATCCCGTGGGAGATTAATTGCCTGTGGAACGATGACTTTTTAGTCGGGAGCTCGATCTGTTTACAGGAAGTTCTGCTGAATGTTGGATGAGCTCCTGAGGAAATGAGTTAGGTTAGGTTTCTGAACGGTGCTCATCGTGGTTGATTTTTCAGGTTCTTTGTTTGCATTTCATCATTTAGAATGTGTTTTCGTATTTGTAATATTTTGTTCATTTATTGTACTATATTGAATGTAATAGTTAATTCTTGTACTATGTATTTCATTTGTTCTAGTATTATACTGAATATTATAATTTACAGCTATTATATTATATAATATGTTATTACATTCGAAACCCTAAGTGTAACACCTTTTGCTACAATAATACTGTGCCCTATACTTGATAAATTATAGGCTCTATTTAATTAACCTTCAATTGCACGAAATTCTATGGTGTTCATCGTGGTTAATATTTCTTTGTTTCGTGCAATTCACCATTGCATTTTTGCAAATTCTCAGTTTCATCGACTGGAAATCATTCCTCTTCCCGTACAACAAATACCAATCCACCCATCCAACTCTCAAAAACTGGTTAACTAATTTTCAATTTCAATATTCAATTTTCTCTCGCGTTTCCACATTCCCAGGAAACAATTCCGAATTCTTCCTGTGAAAGCAGCCGAGTCTCAAAGGTAGGTTGTCCGATGCAGTTGTTACATTTACAAATCTTGCCTGTTAACCCTTAACCCCTCGACGCATTTATTTTCGCTACTAAGCCCGTGTAACATTTTACTATCGGCAGCTTCGAAGAAAAGTAGCAAAATACAGTCCCAAAGCACTGTCTCCGTTCCCGATCCCCTGGCTCCGCCTCCGCAGCTCCCCGTACGCTGGGAATTGGAGAAGAAGGTCTAAAAGGCAGCGTGTTTTTCCGCTTTGTGTGCCACTGGGCCGAATCGGGCATCCTCGATTCACGGCGCGCGTTGCATCCTCCGAAGGACGCGACGCGCACGCGACTCGCCGCCGCGGAAGCACGGAATCTAGGGAACATTCGACAGCCCGATAATCACCGTCATTTCACGGCAGTGCCTGTCTTCGGGCCGTTTGACACCGCGGAATGCCGTGACAGCGTGAAAGCCGGTTCTGCAACCTTCTTCGCTGAACATCCACGGCGCGACGCTTTCCATCGGAAACGCGACGAATACGCTTCGAGCGACGCCGGGATATCGATACTCGATAAGGATCCTCGATTCCGTTGATCAATTCGACCCGTAAATCACCGGCTAGCTTACCGAGCGTGCCTCGTATCTCGAGGATCTCTTTCAATGATCATATAGTCATCCTGTGGCTTGATTTCCCCCACCGTTGAGTCGCTTCATTCATCGTCTGACCCGAGCCTCGCGAGCAAGCAAACTTGTTGGGAAGATTATTGATGCGCGCTTGTATTCGATTTCTATGGATCTCATTTGCTTCAACACTTTGACTGCCACGTCACCTGAATTCAGATGACACCATTTTTTACGTAAACTTAAACAGTAATTTTCTCGGTGACGTTTCGAACGAACCGAATTTTGTTGCGTGTGTCAGATATAAGAGGGACAACAGAGCAGTCGTAAAGAATCTTGACTTTTTAGTTTCTACTTTATTGAGGAAATTATTCTCACCGCATAGGTGTTCCGATGAGTGTTAATTTGGCAGTCGACGTGTTAGGGAAGCATGTTTTTAGGTTATCCCGTTGAAATATATAATCCATTTTTCTTATTGAGTTGATAATTGTGGAATATCGAGGCATTATAGAAAGTTCAACATTAAATATCAGATTTTATAGTTTTACTGCGTCAAATCAAGTGGTGACTGAGAGTCGCCTCCTGAGTGCAAAGGGTTAATCTCAGTGGAGAGAGAAATCATAGAGCAAGGGGTTAACGACGGTTAAACACCGTTAACCCTTTGCACTCGAGAATATTTTTCTCGACAAATATTCTCTGATAAAATATCAACGACGCTTTACAACTGATATAAAGAAACAGATTGAATAAATTAAGCGAACTATTTCATTTCGATGTTCCATGTGTTGATGCATCGTATAAAATTTAATATTGAATCTCAAATTTGACCATTTCGTTGCGTCGAATCCAGTGGCGACCGAAAGGCGTCTCTCGAGTGCGAAGGGTTAATCAAGGAAACCGTCGAGCAGCCGGCAAACAAATAAATCAAACAATTTCCCACAGTCCCGCCGCGATCTTCCCGATTCGTCTGTTCGAAGGAGGTCGCGGCGATCCAACGATTCAGTACACGCGTCCCGGCGGGGATCCATCGGCGGCGAAATTGAACAGTAGCATGGTTAAGCGGCGCGCATAAATCCACGGCTCCGGAGCGGCGGTAATGAGCTGGGTCAGAAGCCCATCGCCGCGGACACGGCCACCTGTTGCGGATCGGTGACCTGAATCTAATAACAGAGAGAAACGATGCGCCTTATCGAAGGAACATCGACCGAGAGGATCTCGCTGCCCCACTATCCGTCGGTCCCCCTCGCTTCCGGTCCACCGGGAACCGTCGCGCACACGTCTCGGCTGCGTTCCCACGGGACTCTCCGAATTGCGTAAGTGGAAACACTTTTCCGCGAGCTCGTTAAGCTCGCCGCGGCACACGCGCCGTTCCACGACTCACGCGAAGCGCCGCCGACGACCACCGAAAGTGTCACTCGAGAACCGACTGCTGGGTAAACAGACGCAGGTGCTACTACGAGGTCGGAGGGTCGCTTGGAAGGTGCGTGCTTGCTGGAGAGATCCGGGTTTTTATTGGGAAATGTGGGTTTTATTGGGAAACGGAGGTTTTCCTTGGGAAGTTGGTCATTTGATAGGGAAATGTGGGTTTTCTTGGGAAATTGTAGGTTTTCCTTGGGAAGTTGGTGATTTGATAGGGAAATGTGGGTTTTCTTGGGAAATTGGAGGTTTTCCTTGGGAAGTTGTTGATTTGATAGAGAAATTGTAGGTTTTCCTTAGGAAGTAGTTGATTTAAAAGAGAAATGTAGGTTTTCTTGCGCAGTTGTTGGATTTCTTGGTAAATTTAGGTTTCCTTAGGAAATTTTAAGTCTTTCTTGGGAAATTGTCGATTGAATCGGGAAATGTAGGTTTCCCTGAGAAGTTGAGTTTCCTGAGAAACTGTAGTCTTTCTCGGGAAATTGTTGATTTAATCGGGAAACGTAGGTTTCCCTACGAAGCTGAGTTTCCTGAGAAACTGTAGTCTTCCCTGGGAAACGTAATTTGTCTTGAAAAATATGCAATTTCCTGATTTTCAATTTTCATCGATTCCGTATTCAGTTAGATAGAGAATAAACTGATGATTACTCCGAGAGTCCTATTCAATAGTCCATAAAACCGTTAAAGACGAACGATAGATAATTCAAAATTGATTAGAGCTGCCGTTTAATTCGCGAGATCAGCATTCATATTCCACTGCTAATTTAGCACCTCTAATTATAAATGATTAAATTGTAAACTATTCCATAATTTAATTTGAAAGTTTCCCAATAGCATTTAAATCGCCATTGCTATCACTTATCTAAGAAATTAACGATAAAATCAGAAACCCATATTTGCATAAGTATCGAGCGTAGCCAATGGGTTTCGGTAAACTGATACTTCGACGTGGCTTAAATTAGTTGAAACTGTGTTACGTTCAATGGATCGTATCAAGAAATCACGTTAATAGAGAAACGTGAGCGTCGTTCCCTTCGAATAGGCACTCGCACACTGACAATAATGTATTCGCGCATTAATTCCCGGCGTCCTCGTTCGAGGACAAATCGACTTTCCTCCGCAACAATGGAGGATGCGTCCTCAAACTTGATCCGGGGTCTTAGCCCGCTCCGATGAATTTTTCATGAATAATCAAACCTAAATCTGAACCGCCTCTGCTATACACATGCAAATCATCCCCATTATCACGATCTAATTCAAATCGTAGAAACCTTAATCCAATTCTAACCAGTTAACATTCAAATTCAAACTTTCGAGTACTAACACGCTCGCTACCAACATTCTTAACGATCTCCATCGATTCTATTCAATCGATCAAATCCAAACAAACTAAAAACCTCAAACTAAACCTAATCACTGACTTCCTAAATATAATTCCATATCCCATAACTGCAAATAACAATATATATAATTCCATTCACTTCACCATAAAATATCACCCAGAATCAACTCAAATTCCAGCTACGAAACTCAAACTACAACCGTCAAACCTTAAATTCACATTCGAACCGTTATCTGCGTAATGCACATTCAAATCTCGCCATTGAAATTCTAATTCCGATCGTTACATCCGATTCTCGTTTTCAGACTCACTCGGTAAACAGATTAATCTCGAAAACCGTTAATATTTCCGACTTTCGCCTGTTCGTCAGACGTTCGTTGCGAAGTTCCCGATCTTCGGGATGAATCGGCGCGCTCCTGCGTCGCGCGGAGCCGAGTTTCCGGCGCGGGCATTGTTCCCCGTGGAATCCGTTCCCCGCTCGCGCGAATTCAACCCGCGTGCCGGGAATGTGGCACGCGCGGTTAACGCTGCACAGCTCTGTATGGGATAATCGCGAAGTAGGTAAGCCAGCGCAGCGCGGAGGATGCGTCGTCGTCGCATTAGAGATGCGTTAACCTCGATCGAGCGTGTGCAAGCGTTACGCGACGACGATTGTGAGATCGGCACAGTGACACATTCCGTTTGATGGATTCACCGTCGGAAATATGGCTGTCCACCATGGTGTCGCGTTATGTCGAAATTAACATTAGAAAAATTCAGGTTCATTTCTCTTTGTTCATTGGAAGATTAACATGGATTGTAATTGGTTCTCTCAGATTTATCAGTAGAATTTTTATTTCGAAAGTTAGAGATTATTTAGTATTCTATAATTAGCTTGGAGTGATGATTGTTAACCCAAGTTTGGTAAACGATATTGATTCAAATCACGATACTGAATTCTACGAGAATGGTTCATTTATATTTCAACCCACGAGATGCAACAGCACGAACCTATGCAAGGATGAACGCTAATTAGAACATTGATTACGCGTCGCCGTTAACCTAGATTATTTAATTCACGGCGTAAGATCACTGATAAATGACAGTTTATTGTTTACTTTACGGCCACAGCGACCCAATTTCGTCGTGGCCAAGTTTACGGTTGGAAGTCACTATTCATCCACGTGTGTTTACTAAAATAAACTTAATTAAAGCCCGCAGAGGATTCCCGGGCAACGTTCAATTAGCAACACCTGTCCCGAAAGGGATTGCAATTTTGTAGAAGATCCACGGTCCCGATTGCACCGGCGAGCGTGTTAATTTCTATTTTATCGCCGGTAATAAAGACGTTGGAATATCAAGCGGAGCGAGCGCTGAACGCGAGAGATCGTTTTGCCGTGATAATTGAAAGAACGCGATGCTTTTACTTCGCCGGGCAGAGCTTCACGCGCTCGAGCCGGCTAATTCGATCCGCGCCGCGCCGCGGTTGTCTCTCCTTCGGCGCGGACACGCCCAGCGGGCATCGGAAAAAGAAGAAGAAGCCCAGAAGTGAAGGTGAGGCGGCGCGGTCTGGTGCGACCGGCAAAAAAGGTGCAACCGATGCGGTTCACTTTTAGCGAGACGTAATATCCTCTCGCTGTTACGTGTACCATCGACGCCTCGCTCGATCTTGAAACGATTTCCCGCGGGTTCCGTCGAATTCGACGATACCACTCCGTGGTCCTCGATACCCTCGAGCGGATCTTCGGATTTGCATTCGACTTTCTATCCGGTATCTAGATGGTAGGCTGAATACCTGTCGAGCGGCTTATTCAATTAACAGTGAATCATCCGGTGAAGTTGATGTCGCGATTGAAGTTAGGTGTCGAGCGTCGTTAGAGATGTTTGTCTTGCGCTGTCGCTTACTGTGGGAGATCGGGTGGTAGGAGTGTTAGATAATAGATTGTTACATCTGAGAGGAGTGTTGAATTAATTGATATTTCGTGATTTTATTAGCACTCAGATGGTTTTGTGATTTATCAGCAATTTAATTTTTATGGTATCTCTAGTGAAAATGAGAAATATAACATTCCTTCCTTTTATTTTGCTTAGTACAAAATTTGTATGTGTGGAAAATCTAAGAATTTTAGGGTAGTTTCTTTGATTCATTAAAATATTCATTATAACTGGTGCAATATTGGAGCCTACAGAGTTCAAAGGGTTAATCGATAGGTCCATCTAGATAACCCATTGCCTTACGATACATATCATGATCAATATAAATAGGTGATTAATAATTCATTGGAAAAGAGAAAAATTCTAATACGTCTACGTCTGCTCTAAAGTATAATAAATAAATGTTCGTTTTTTTATGAATCTAGAATATTCCAAATATATCTGAAGTTAAAGCATGGCAATGAAAGAATGTTCCAGAAAGTGTGTGAAACAAGAGCATCCGAGTATATAACCATATTCTATGGCAAGGGGTTACCAGAAGCTTGCAAACAGCAATTCAAATAGAAACCGAAACCATTTCGATTCTCCAAACAGAAACTACCACCTAAATTCCTCGCACGACACCCGACCAATCCCTGCAAACCACCAGCAAGCCGCAAACACCGTCTGCGAAAGAAGACGCACTGAATCCCATGTCCTTAGCGGAAGTAAACAAGCCTCGGTCACGCTGTCCGCCCCCGGAAGCGGCATTATCGGTCACGGTGTCGGCGTCCCCGCAGAAAAACCCGTCGGCCAGGTGGATTTCACCGCTGAAAATCGACCGGCGGCTGATCGGTCTACCTGACCTCAACACAGAAAACAAAGCGACCGGATCGGCCGCATCCTCGGAGAAACTCCCGCGACCGGCGATCGCCGTAATACACCCTCGATCCGCCGGAGGCTCGTTTCACACTCGATCAAATCCAGATCGCGGCAGGCGCGAACAGGGTAAAGAGGCGCGTAGAGAGTAAGGCCGCGGACCGTCCGCGACCTAAAACTACTTTCGAGGCGTCACGACGCCAGCCGTAAGGTCAGGCGCGCGGGTCACGGTGCCAGGCACGCCGATAGGATCCCCTAGGCGCGCATCCTCTAACTTATACCCCACTACTACCGAGCGAATCCCATAGAGCGAATCCTAGCCGTCAGCGAAACTCGGCGAGCGAGCGAGCGCGCGACGAGCGGCGGGGTAAGCGTTGTTCAGTGGGTCTCTGTGTCAGGATGGGTCACATGCTCCACGTGAGAATCTCCGCACCGCGGGGAAAGGGAAGCCAAGGTTCGGTGCAGGCGTCGCGGTGAACCTGGCGAAGAATAGAGGACGGTCCCGATGGGCACCGCGCGAGGGACGTGGGGCGAGTGTCACGTGTGCCGCTCGGTGCCGTCCGCCGTTCCTTACGTGGGAGACGGTCTCTCACCCCCGTCCCGGACGCTGGATGTTCGCCGGATGGTATATATCGGGCCGGACATCTGGTCCTGCCGCCAGTTCTCTCTAGTCGAGGATCCCGAGGAACCCGTGCGACCGCGGGACCAGTTTCGTGCGAACGAGATCCGCTTTGGACCGAGGATTTAACGATTCGGTGCTGCCCGCTCGACCGACGCAATGGATCTGAAGTGTGTGTTTCTCTTCGCCGCGCTATCGCTGGTACACGCGACCACCGTCAAGGACGAGGACAGCTTCGTGGATAGGGGGTTCCGAGCGATGCACAGGGTCTACGAGGACTGCCAGCAGAGGAACATCGGCGTGTCGCCCTGCCTGAAGAAGAAGGCGATCGCCTTCTTCGAGAGGCTCGGCAGGATGCGCACTCTGCCGCTGTCGGAGACCTTCGAGCTGGTTAGGGCCTCCGACGAGCCGCCTAAGAGCACCGTGACAGATTTAGAGGCTAGTCTGGGCAGGAACGCGGCTAGCAAAGAGGAGATCTTGAACGAGATCCTGTTCGATCGCGTCGCGTCGCTGCTGAACGGCTTCAACATGCAGATCCGCCTGCCGAAGACCACTCCGGGGGAGCTGAAGAGGGGCATGGAGGAGGGCCGGGGGAAGATGAAGAAGATGATGGGCATGATGATGATGGGCATGGCGATGAAGATGGCCGCGCTGATACCCATCGCCCTCGGCGTGCTGTTCCTGCTCGCCGGCAAGGCGCTGATCATCAGCAAGATCGCGCTCGTGCTGTCGCTGATCATCGGGCTGAAGAAGCTCCTCAGCCAGAAGCAGAGCCACGATCATGGCGGCTGGCAGCAGAGCGGCGGGGGAGGATGGGACAGGAGTCTGAAGGCTGTCTCCGAGGCGATGCCGTCGACGACGGAGGCGGCGCAGAAGTACGCGCAGAACCTGGCGTACTCCGCGAGACATCTTCATTGATCGCGGGGACGACGCGTCCTTGGGTTCCGTTCGCAAATTCCTGCGGACGATGATCGAGCTTCAGAGTCGGGATAATTGGACTGAATCTGTGGCTGCGCCATTTTGCTCGCGGTGCGATGGGATCCGCGTTGTTCGCGGAGAGACGTTGCAACATTGTATCGTTTTGTCTTTCGAGGAGGCTGGGTCGGATGAAGTGAGGATGGTCGATTATCTGTTCGTAGGTGTCTGACTTAACGATTTCTTTCTCGTTGACGTTGAGGTTCGATGAACCTGAATTTATTGTCAGTGGAACCGATGTCGCGGACAGGTCCGACGACTGTGTTCGACGTCGCTGCTCGCTTGTAGAAGGACGAAGTGCCGAGGAATGTAAGATACTCAGACTGTCTCTTACTTTCGAGGCATTCGACGTTATAATTGCGATGTTATAATTTTCTTGCACGCGAGTTTGTAACGGGACTGCGTCGAAGCGTTCTCACGGCAGAGTCAGGTTCAGGTACTTACCGATACGTTCGAACTGTCGATCGAAGGAAACTCGTTGAGGAACGTCGACCGATTCAATTGTAAACTCTCCCAGTTGAAATGAAATTAAAACTTCTGCAAAACACATTGTATCCGAGGATGTTTTCTGTTTCACCGGGGATCGAGGGTTAGAAGTCGCCAACGAAATTTGAATGTTAACGGCAGGAATGAATAGGTATCAATGAGTTCCAGGACCACCGAGGATCTCCGAACGATCGAATTCGAGTCCAACCAGTTTCGAGTTCAAACGAAAAGACAAATTCAAGTTGAAACCTATGGAATTCTAGTTCGAGCGAAGATATCACTGAACGAGTGAACTGGCGAACGTCAGCAGCTTCACGCACGCGAGTTTCTAACGGAACCGGGACGAGGCGTCTTTTGCGTTCGCCGTCGAAACGACCGGCAACGACGATTTCGCGAGCTGAAAGATCCACAGCTGCCGGATCGCGAGAAATAACCGGGAATAAAACTTTCGCGGTCGTTTCGTCGTCTCAACATATTTATACGCTAGTTAAGTAAGTCCCATTACGAGATATTTATTACAGACCGCCATCTATTTATTGTCGCAACTGTACCAATCGCGTTTCCGTTGGTAGTGGCAGCGCGGCCGAGCAGGCGAAGACTGATCGAATAAAAAAGGCGCAGAGATCCAACAGAGAAAAACGTCTTTAATGATTCCTTAACGATTATTCAATGGTTATTCAATGATTCTCGCTCGTCGGTTTCCCTAACAGTACACGCTAATATTATACAAACTTGTCTCGTAACAGCGCGTCCCGCGACTGTTGGCCATGGAAACGCCTCTCGATCGCTGGACGAGTCGCGCCGATCGGGAGAATAATGTTTTTCGTTTATTATATTTCCATTTTATTCGTTGACACGTCGAGTACGCCGGCTGTTACGGAACGAAACGATACGATTTAGTCTTGCGTTTTGAGATCCGGCGCTGCCGCCCCCGCGACGCGCCGCGCTGATTTCCGGGGAGTGTCTGTGTCAGCGCACTTTCAGCCCGAGGACCGCGGCGAACAGCGCGAAGAAGAATCCCGCGAGGAGCGCGGTGGCTTTCAATAAGACCAGACCGCCGACCAGCGTCGGCACCAGCGCGACGAACTTCATCTTGTACGCCATCAGCAGAGCTAACATCGTGCGGTCCATTTTCCGCTTCTTCCGGCGGCGACCTGGGAATCAGCATTTCTTTACCGTGTTCGCATCCCTTCGCATGTACTCTTCAACTAATAAACGTGTTATTCAACCTCTTTGGGAATTCTGTTTCTCGTTTACATCGGCCAGTCTTTAACCCTTCGCGGACGGAGATTCTATGAAATATACGGAACCTTCGGCAGACGAAGCTGAATTACTCAGTTGATTAATTAACCCTTGATTTGATTTGATTGATTTGACACAGCTGAATTGTAACGTTTGAGGTTTAATATTCAATTTGTATAATGCGTTAATATAAAATATTGAAAGAAAATAGTTTCCTTCCTCAATGTGTGCGACTTCTTGTCAAAGCAATTTTGGAAAACTGCAGCTCATTGGGAATATTGAGTATTTCCAATGAAAATTTGTGGAGTGCAAAGGGTTAATATTTAAAAATGAAACTACGTACTGATATCTTGCAGTTTGAGTAATCGAATCATTCGTCCACGTTTTTTAAACACGAAACTCCCGAAACGTAGACATTCGGCCGCAAAGGGTTAATCATTTAATTGAAATCGAAGATTTCTAAACATTCCAAGTACTCAAATTTCGGAGTATAATGTAAACCTTCCAATTCTATAACTAATTGAAACATATCTTTAGAAGGAAGTCTATTAAATCCTGCATCAATTTCTAAAAATGTTCAAACTTCACACGAAATATTTATTCTTCAGTACGATAATAAATTGAAAAGCGTCTATCAGTGTTTCTAATCGGAATTTCAAAAAAGATTCCAAGATCCCAAACAATCAGCGATCAGAATTCCCACGAGAAAATCTAGTTTCACCAAACAAACGCACTAGCGGCTCGAAGCAGCCATAAGCCCGATAAAATCCCAACGAATTACCTTCGTCCAAGATGTCCTTCGACAGCGGCAGGTCCCTGTTCTTCGTCAGCGCGTTCGCAGTTCTGGTTTTGTCGTGCACCAGCAGCGAGACGGCGCTCGTCGCCGCCGGCTTGCTCTGCGCCCCCTTGAGCAGCTTCTTCGCGACGGCCGCGTGATCCCTGAGGACATCCTTGCCCGGGTCTCCTCTCTGAGCTTGCTGCCTGCTCGCGGTTTTGGACGTTTCCAGCAGCCGTGCGACGCAGCACAGTGTCAACAGAAACGCGACTAGATTCACTCTCGATCGCATGTTCGCCGTCGACGGGTTCACCTGAACGTTGCCCACGATCCCCAATCACATCCTCTCCAGCCGGCTGGCCGCCCAAGCGCGACGAGTCCTTCGCACATCCGTCGCCGCGACCCTTCGAGTCCTCCTTCGGGTTCGACGGCCGGTTACATGTCTCCTTGGAAACCCACCCCTGGATATTTCTGAAAAGACGTTGAAACTCCAGATGATTAGGATCTCTCCTCGGCACTCCGTTGCGTAACGAAACGAGGAGAACGAGGAGCAGTTTTATCTTTTTAAGAGACTGTCGATGGAATTCTTAAGTAGAGCACGACTGCTCGACTGTCCGGGAAGTCATTAACATAGGATTATCTCCGCAACCGGAAGTTAGATTCGCTGGACGTTGGGAGGTAGGATTTAGGAATGGAACTTGGGAATAGGAGTATGTATAGGTTCCATCGATATTGTTATTAACTAGAGTAGAATCTCTAACAACTGCGTAATAAACAGAATTGCTCGATAGAAAGGATATACTAACTGAATATTCCAAGGTAACACAAGAAAATTCACAAACTATCAAACAAGCTTATGAAATGTTACATCGAAGACTAATTCGTAGAGTGAACTACTCGAACACCTATAAATGCACGCAGTTTCCTCCTATCTATTAACCCTACATGCGCCGAATTTCCGTTCATGATTATAACAAAATCTATGCAGTACAAAATTAATAAATATCCAACAATGTATTCAATAGTTTCAATAATTTCATCGAACGAATATATTTCGTATCTTCCAAGTTACAATGACAAACTTTCACGCCTGAGCTGAAAGTTTCAGTAAACTGATTACTCAATTTTATTCACCACTTCGAGTGCAAAATGAAATAAATCAACAAGATGCCAATATACTGATACATGACTTGAAACTTACATGAGCTTACAGAGGGTTAATCAAGCAATCAATAATTTCACTTCATCTATTAAAGATCCTCTACATCCCTAATCACCTTTCCACAAATTCTCAAAGAACTCAAGAAAACCGATATCCCGATCGCAAGATCGACCGAATCTCATAAATAGGAAGCATTCGAGCAACTGTCGCCCGCGAGACTCACCTGAGATCCAGAAGCGACTTTCCAAGAATGAGCCGGCGACCACTCTGACGACGACGCGGGCTGATTAATCAGCGATCGATGCGAGTGTGTATCCGGGTGTCGTATCAGCGATCGAAAATGCAAATGACGAATGGACTGTCGACGGAACGGACTGAACAGCGAGCGACCGTGAACTAACCGATGCGCTCTTGATTCCTCGGCGAGGACCCGAGGGGGGCTGGCAGGGGTACCGCGCCGGCAACGCTTCAGTTGCCAGCGGGATCGGCGGCCCGTGAAAAATGAGCACCGCCGCGACGAGCCGGCAATATGTGCGTGCGGTAAGTACTGTGATCCAAATTGTTTCCGCGGACGATATATATGTCAGGCGATGGCTGTCGAACGGTACAGCCCGGTTCCCCTTGTCGCGGTTAGACGGGACACGGGGGCACGGTAGGGTGTCGCTTCCTTGGAAACGCGGCGATTACCTCGCCGGACGAGCGACGAGACGCGCCTTCATTTTTGAGTTACGCTGCGCTGGCAACCGGGCCGATAACAACCGCCACTTGTCATCGATCGATCACTCGAATCTGGGTGGACGGATCGGGGAAAGCTTGGGATGGCGGACGTGCGATGATGGACTCGATGATTGGGAGGAAAGGGCTTTCGATTTACGTTGACTAGCACTTTTCGAGGGAAAATGATTATTCAGTTATCAAGGATATTAGGAATTGTCATGGATAGGTTAGGGAGGAATTAGCAAAGGAATATAGATGATTCTAGTGACAAGTTGCACCTGTATCTTCTTTGTTAACGCTAGAACTACCGTACCAGTCAAAACGACTGGTTTCGATTTGTTTGTTTTTTCTGAAATATTTTCGCGGTGGAAATGACAAAAGAAGCCTGATCGAATCCGATTCTTTCGCAGTGAGAAATTCTTTTCTCGTCGCAGTCGGTCAGTTTTTATTCCGATCGATCGATCGCAAAGTTTCTAGGTCCAGTAAAAAGCGTAATCCGCCCGGAAGTCGGCGTAGAAACTACAATTGCACTCGATACGATTTATCGAGCCCTCGAACACCCGTATACCGGGAGAAACGGGGCGTCCTGCATCGAAGAGTCGCGAGTGTTATCGGCTACGTTACAATTCCGCTTAATCTCTAACTGTAACATACTCTGGGTGCTCAATTATCATTACACACTTTCCAGGCGTTCATTTCTATCGGATATGGTAATCAAATTTATATAGGCTACCGAATGACAGCCAGTAAACCATGCGCTAATTAAAACTAATCACTTCAACGGTGTACTATAGAGGAAGACGAAACATGATTAACCTAGATGAATATTCAGATCTAATTGTAAATCACAACCTCGACCTCTTATGAAATGTAACGAAAAGGTTAGGATAAATTAAATATTTTTTTATGGAAACATATAGATATAACAATTGATTTTTAGTCTTCAAAGATCAGTCTACAGATGGGTTAATTCTATAGAAAAGTGTTTAAATATAATTCTATGTTATAATTACATGATTCTAAGTGGAAATTCTATAGAAAAGTTACATTACTTTATTTACATATATTTAATTTTATAATTCAAATATAATATAATTACGTTCAACACAATTCAAGTAATAATTTAAATATAATTCTATGTTATAATTACATGATTCTAAGCATAAATTCATTAATTAAATTAAATTATAATTCTATATTATAATTACATGATTCTAAGCATAAATTCATTAATCAAATTAAATTATAATTCCATATTATAATTACATGATTCTAAGCGTAAATTATAATTCAAATATAATTCAAATACAATATAACTACGTTGAACACAATTCAAATAACAATTCAAATATAATTCTACATAATAATTATACAACTCTAAAATAAATCCTGTTAATACTGTGAAAAATAAGAAGAAGAATACATTCCTTCCGGGCAGCGCAGGAACGTCGACTTGATTTTCCGGCCGCGGCATACAGGTCACCGTAGCCAAGCCGAAAATCATTAATCACGAGAATGACGGTCGCATTACTCGAATCCCTCGCGTATGAAGCCCGGGACCCAGATGTCCCTGGAGTAGTTTCATTCATCTGCCATCTGAAAAGAGCATTGTCTCGTTCCGCGAGGAAGAAGCGAAGGGCAATTTCGCTGCTTCCTGCGTGAACACGGGAACGCCGGCGGATAATTGCATCGCGGAACGGTACAAGGGGTTCAACCGAGTTGATAGAACCGGAGAACGAAATGCCTAGCTCTGTTAAATCACTATCATCATTACGGTCCCCTTTTCGGTCTTCGCTTCGACGCTCGGCCGGTTGCATGTCGACGTAATGATCGATGCTGCTATTTCATTTTCAAGGAATGGTAACGGTCGCCTCTTAGGCCTCCGACGATCACGACCGTTTCAGCGAGGAACATTGACGAGAAAATTGCCGATCGCTCTGCTAACAGTTATCCCAGGGACATTCACTTTTTCGATAATGCCTGGGAACCTTCTCGAATTACGAACGATACTCTTTTATTTCGAACGTTTCGATTTTATTTCGATCGCTCTACTTTTAACCCCTTGCACTCGGATGTTTTTCACTAGAAGTATTTTAACATTTTCTGATGAGATAACATTGATATTTTGTGAAACTAGAGTTGTGAAACTAGTTGAGGAACAGAGTATTTTATTTGAATATTTCTCAAAATGATGCATTATAGGAAATGTAATATTAAATATCAAATTTTGTAGTTTTACTGTATGAAATCAAGTGGTGAGTCACCTCTCGGGTGCAAAGGGTTAAATTGTTATGTCGTGTGTAAGGTAGACTAATTTTTCAGTCAATCGAAAGTGAACAGTAATTATTTTATTCGTTTCTCTGCTGGATAGTAGGGCTTGAACATCTGTTGCTTACTGTCTATGATTATCTTCAGAAACGAACGCGTGCGGAATGTTTAAATTTGATTATCTACTGCGTTAAAAGTAGGACACTTTTCAACTTAAGTAAATTACGGTTATAGAACAGAAGGAAATTATTAACGTTCGTGGGAACTACGAACCTTGCGTGACAGACAAATTCGAAGTAGACATCGCGGTCACGCCACAGTCGATCACGGTAACAAGAGCCACTCCATTAACCTTTGAACTACATATTTTCCTAAACGTAATTGCGTAAGCGTTCGTGACAGCCTAATTCCAGACGAATTAATATTGAATGTTTCCATTGAAAATCTTTCGAGTGCAAAGGGTTAAGATCGCGCGAGATATAGGTCATATTGTTTGAAACTAATTTAACGATAATTCATAGATAAACTAAGCAACAGAGGTGTTTTATTGAAATATTTCGCGTAGCAATGGAAACTTTAATTTGAAATATTAAATATTCAACTTCATAGTTTTTGTAAGTCATGTGATGACTGAGAGTCACCTCTCGAGTGCAAAGGGTTAATAACCAACCGATTCCGGCTGCCGTCAACATCGCTGGAAAACGCAGCGAGTTTTTACGGACCGGCATGCACCGCGAACAGGATTATTCAGCGGCCCGACTCGGCGAGGAGATTTATGAACCCCTCCTCGTTACGTGATCTCGGGTAATTAAAGGAGCGTCCCGTGAATGTTAATTGAAACGTTCACGGTGAACGCGGCGAGATGGGCCGGCTAATTAACGACGATGCGTGGTGCGCGTGCGACAATCCTTTAAATCCAGCGCTAACGGGACAGACGAGCCGATCCTTTTCTTGTCTGGTTTAACAATCAGAATCACTGGGATGAACGACGGAGGCCGGGAAGAAAGGGGATTATGGTGTTTTCTCACGAAATTCGAGCGCGTGTTCAGGGTCCATTTGCCACTATGTGTTCGACGCTGCGATTTAGAGCAGCTCGGAACGGTCTCTTAATTGAAGGCGTTGGCAGACGGATTTAGTTTTGTGAAATGAAGGTTAGGAAGGAATTAGCGGAGGAATATAGAAATTGATTCTAGTGACAAGTTGTACCTGTTCGATGATGGAGGAAAGAGCTTTCGATTAACATTGACTAGCACTTTTCGTTTTGAAGTCGTGCCCAGGAAAATGATTATTCAATTGTCAAGGATATTAGGAAGGATATTAGGAATTATCAAGGATAGGTTAGGATCCTTCCTAATGAATTAGCAAAGGAATATAGAAATTGATTCTAGTGACAAGTTGTATATCTTCTTAACACTAGAACTACTATACTAGTCAAAATGACTGGTTTCGATTTTTTCGTTTAGCAATTATTGATATCTTCGAAGCACTGAATATTTGAAATGATTTTGAAAATAAATAGTTTCGTTTGAGTACTATAATGAATGTCTCAAGAAACCGAAAATAATCTATTGTTACAGTTTTTATAGGAATTGCATATTAATCGTATTAAATGCTCAGTAGTTCTAGTGTTAATAATAATATAATAATAATATAATAATAAAAGAATAAAGTCTTAATAATTTCCAATCTTGCGTTTGAAATTGTTATGGAGTGATAAAGCTTTTGATAGTAGGCAGTCAACACTATTTTCCAATTTCAACCTAGGAAAGTGAAGTAACTTTTCCTTAACTCTCAATACTTATTCAACTGTTGATTCCCCTATTTCGAAAAGAATCTTAAATAATCTCACTCTCGCAGTTTCCAACAGAAAAACCGAAATTCCAACACTCAAACTTCAAACTTTCCATCCCCCTTCACAAGATAACGGCAACAACAATCATAACAATAATATCCACAACAGTAACAATGGTAATAATACTAACCACAAAAATAACGATGACACTAATAATAATAACAACCACAATAGCAATATCCACAAGAATAATCACGATAATAACACTATCCACACCAACGACAGATCCACAACAACAATAATACTAACCACACCAACGACCACAGATCCACACAACAATAATACTAACCACACCAACAATACAAACAGCGATACCAACGTTCTCGCAACAGTGCAAAAAATCCAGCAAACATTTACCAACCGATCACGCGAGGAAAGCTCCGCGGCCACTTTCGAAGGTTCCGAGCGGTTACGCCCCCTTAATTTCGCGTTTGCTCGGTCACCGGTACGTTTCCTTTCGCGTGGTTCGCCGTCGATCGTTTTCGATCAGCCCCCGACCCGTTTCCCCCCGCGGGGCTGGGCCGGGCCGGCCGGCAAAGAGGCCGCGGGCCGCGATAAACTCATCCGGCCGATTACTCGAGTGTGAAACGAACCGCGATCACCGATCGAGACGGCGGACATCCATTCCTGGACGGCTGCGCGCGCGCTTTTTCACGGGAAACCACGGTGTTCCCGCTGGTGGCTGATCACCGGCCACGGGAAATATTCGGGGGACTACTCTGCCCCGCTGGCCGCGTCGTCCAATGGTCGATGAGAGCCTGGTGGTGGATGGACGAATCCTTCGTCACGCGCCAGCGCCGGCTCGGATGGTGGTCTCCTTCTCTGAGCTTTTCGCGTGGCCACTATATAAGCTAATGGCCCGGTCTAGGACGAATGTCAGTTGACATTACATTTGCCGGCGGGTCGGTCCGTCGAACTTCCGTCGTCCTGAGTCGGTCGTGGTTCAAGTTCTCTGATACTGACGCCTTGATTAGGTACTAGGCTCTCTCGTTGGGGTGGTATTTAACACGTGTACCACATGTGGTACGGCAATTTTGGAAAATATTTTTAATGGATACACGGTAACGGATGGCGGTTACAAAGCAGTGAAAGAACAATATCGAAATACGTTCATTTCTGGCTTTCGGGAGAGAGCCGTGTCCATTACAAATTTTATCCCAACGTTTCAATGCTGGCGAAACGAAGAATTACATGTTCATGTGAAAAAATAAAGAATTCATTGAAAGAATTAGTACCATGTCAAGGTTTACGTGTTTTTCTTCGATTAGAGGTCTTCTCGTAGAATGATAGGGTTTGGGAAGGATTGGGGAATTATGGGTGTTTGGTTAGGTAATTTGTAATAGTGTATGTTCATAGAAAACGACATTTTGGAAGTATGTATGGGAATATGGGTATTGAGTCTTTTATTCTACTGGTAATAGTTCGTATATTGGTTACTTGTGAAATAAAATAGTAATTAGTCCAATTGACTTTGAAATGGAAGGGATCAAGTTGTTAGTTTGAATAATTTCGATGTCATCAACGACCGTTTTCTTTTTGGAACCCTGGAAGTGTACCCAGCAATTTCTTCGGGAGAAAATCATTGACATCCTGGCGTGACGTTGGCGAACGACAGAGTCAGATGCGACAGGAAGATGTTTCTGTTGCTCCTGGTGCTCTTCCTGCCGGCGCTGCCGGCCACGGAGACCACGCAACCCGCCATGTTGCAGGATGCGTCGAAGCTGCAGCTGGAGGAATGGAGGAGCTCCGCGGATTGGATCGGCGAAGGGATATTGAACGCCGTTGACTCTGTGCTTCCTGTGCCGCGGTTTTCCATAGAAGGTAAATTATGAAAAATGATTATTCAATTATCAAGAGTATTCTACTTCAAACAAATATCAAAGCTACAAGCTTTATAGAAGCGACATTCAATTTGAAAGTGTTTGATATTTCGTGCAGGATTTCGATATGAAAATTATTCTGCTTAACTAACCCTTAGCACTGGGTTATTTTGTATCAGTAACTGCGACTAATTTTTATAATAGCGAAAATAAGGAATGAAATAACATTTCTTCTTTTATTTTTCTTCTCAAAATTTGGATGTATGGAGAATTTAATAATTTTTGGGTGGTTTCTTTGAGATTCATTGAAATATTTGATATAACTGGTGCAGTATTGGAGCCTACAGAGTTCAAAGAGCAAAAAAACTCAGATGTCATATTGTTACGTAATATATTTTAAATCTACAACCAATTCGAATTAAATTTTATATTTTCTCAATACCATGGTAATTAGCGAAGTTGCATAGCTAAGTGTCTTAATATAAAAACAAGATTTCTCGTTATCAACGTGTTAATTTGGTTCAACAGCGGATCCATTCTAATTCTAGTTGTTTACCGTTGTCCACGGATAAACAAACATTTCCGGACAATAATCGATAAAATGTACATCGACTGGATTGCAATCATTCGGGTCATTAATATCAATGAACGCAGCGCGGAACGTGTTTAATCGCTCGCTGTTAAAGGACCATGTAATTACGTATCCTTGTTACCAGGCCTCTAATACGTATCATAACGCGGTATCTGATCGTTCACGGCGCGTGGCCGGCCGACACAAAAAACCATAACTGCTTTCCACTCCAGTTCACCCTATTACCTTGTTCATTTCGCGTACGCTGACTAATAACCAGCGCTATCCTTTTGTTCCCGGAGCCCTGCATCACCGTCGGTCCGGGCAAATCCATCGGGTAGCTCGTAATTAACGCGACAGGCCTCGCTCCAGATGCTTATCATCGCGGTCGATGATTTATGAATATTCGCGTCATTATGCAAAATAACTTTCCCGGGTTAATTTGCGGAGATTCGATCCGAACATTCGTTCGCTCTATTAATTACTTCTGTTTCATTCCGAAGCAAGAATATCGTTCTATCCAATTGTGATTCGGATTTTATATCTCTGATTGATAATCTGGTATTTAACTGGAACTTTGAAATACAATGTTCAGAGGTAATTGTGATAAATGTGGAGTTTTGAGGGATTGAAGATTGATTAGTTGTGATATATGTGGAGTTCTGAGGGGTTGAAGATTGATTAACTCTAAGACCATAGATTTCTTCGTTTTCCTGAGGAATTATAGAAATCATTTAGCAATACGCAAAGTGAATTTTAAATTAATTAAAGTCTCAATGAAAGCACTCTATAGAGGAATTTGATAAAGTCAATTTAACTGTTCGGTAGTTTGTCAACACAAATTATATTATTATATACAATATTCAATATTATATTCAATATTATATTCAATATTATATTCAATATTATATTCAATATTATTTGCATATTGATCGTATTAAATCTGTTGTTCTAGTGTTAACGAATTCATCCTTTATTTAAGAGGTTCACATTGTTCCAGCTCGCAAGAAGAAGAAGCTGAAGCTGAACAGGTACCTGATACCTCTGATCGTCGGGTTCATGCTGATCAAGTCGATTCTCCTGCCGATCGCGTTGAAGACGCTGGCGATTTTGAGCGGAAAAGCTGTGGTCCTCAGTTTGATGAGCCTGATCCTGGCGGCCATCGTCGGTTTGAAGAAAGTCGCGCAAAGTAGTCATTCAGGGGGTGGTTATGAGCTGGTGAACGTACCTTACGGAAAATACAGGAGGCAAGACCTGTTCGACATGACCGACGATTCCATGGAGTCGGAGCCGTATAAATTTTATAGAGAACGACGTAAAAGGAAGTGAATAAGACTCGTATTTGTTTTACAATCATCTGTTGTCTTCTTTGTTCCCCTCCTTCCACATCGTCTTCAAAGAATATCCGAATATGAACAAAACTTTGAATCCTCTGACTTGAAATTGAAAACTAGACTTGTGAAGAGGATTTTAAATTTAATTAGAGTGGAATGATAATTAGTTCTTAGATTAAAATTGATGTATATGTTTAGTCATTGTGAGTTACTTTTGGGATTGATGGAAGTCGCAGATTTTTTCTTAAAATCAGACTAGATTAATTACAATGCTATTATTATCTTAAACAATAAACTGAGTTCACTCATCAACTCAATATTTATAGCATTGAATGATAATCAGTTTTTATAAATTAAAATTGATGTATATACTTAATCATTGTGAACTAACTTTCGTGATCGATGGAAGTCTACACAAAATATATTTTCTTAATGGAATCAACAAACTAAAATCAAACTAGATAAATTACAATGCTATTAACTTAAACAATAAACCAAAAACTTCACTCACTAACTCAATATTTATAAATTTCCCTCACGCCAGGCCGTTAATACACAGAAAAACTGGCCAGCATGCGAACAGGAACGTTAATCTAATTTATATAGAGAGGAAACAAACTTTCTCCGGTAGTGGTTTGTTTTCTCCGCGGAATAACACGTGTCGAACTATTTTGGGCGGCGAGTTCGTTGTAAAATTCACTTCGTAGATTAGCATCGCCGGCCGGAACGTCTAATTGGCTCGGCAAACGGATCTGCTATCGAAGTTGGTGGCGGCCGAACGGAAGATACGAGTGAATCGTAGAAAGTATTTCTCGGTCGCGATCCGACCGACGATTACATCTTCCGTGGAAACGCCGGCGAACAATGCCGCGTAATTAATTGTGCTGCGCGCTGTTCAACTTCGACCGGGCCGGTTACGTAATCGCGGCGCTTCATCGCGGAGAGAAAGTTCATTTCGAATTCCGAGGATTATGAACCACATCGGGAACTCGCGCGGCGAGCATGGGCCTTGAACTTTTATTCCCGTTATCGCTACTAGGTAATCGACGACGTTTCTATTACAGCTTCGTGTCATTGTTGAAACTCGCGAGAGAGAACGAGGCCTTTGAATTAAGGGAACACTGAATTTAAGATTGTTCCGATTGATTCATTTCAGATTCGGCTGATTGTAAAGTGTTGGATAATTTTATGTCGAAGCCTCTGCGTCGATGAAGTAATTGTTAATAATGTATCTTTATAAAAATAAATATAACTGCAAACTCTTCTATTATCTTCAATTGAACTCATTCAATTAATTTGGTTAAAATCTTTGCTTTGTAAAAACAAGAGCCGTATTTGGTGAATTGCAAATAATCCCACTTCAAGACTTACTAAACGACAAAAGAAAAAATAAACAGAATAAAAGGCAATATGTTGCTAAGTGAAAAGTGGGAAATCTCCCCAAGTGTTAACAAATTCAAATACTATAAGTAGAAAAATCATAGCATAGCACTGAAGCTCAAACGAATCGAACTGTCAACAGCATAGTTAAAAGTATCACTATAAATACAAGTCACTTATACATCAAAATTTCTTATAAAATTCCCTATATATATTAACAAATTCAAATGCTAGTAAAATCATCTTACTACTAAAGCTCAAACGAGTCCTGGATCAAGAATCCGATAAAATCCTCATTCCGAATCCCAGAACTCAAAAGCCCCTCAACGATCTCATCCCTAGATGAACCATCAGCTACTTCAATAACTCGTAGACGTTAGATCGATCGGATATTTCCGGTGCGTCACCGGCGATTCGCCCAACGCTGTTCGATGGCGTCAAAACAAGAGGGAACTATGCCAGCGGAGCGGTCGATTACGCGGAAAGGAATAATCGGAGGAAAGTAATTCAGACGCAACACCGGTCGGAATTGAATCACCGTCGAAAGCGGATCGCGCCGGGCGAGACGGAGCGTAGGAAAAAAAACGGAGCAGAGGGAAACAAGGAAGGAAAAAAGGTTTCACCGTTTAACGTCCCGATGTTAGCATTCTCGTCCCGCGTTTCTCTTTCGTCGTCCGTCGTCTCTCCGCAAACGGCCGTACCTATCCGGTTTCCGGGATGCGAATCGGTCCCGCCGGCCTCGCGAGCTTGAATCGGAAGTAAACGCGTTCCGGGCCGGGACGTAACCTAGATAATTAATCGCGAAAATCCGTCGCGTTGCGCGCCGGGTGTACCGTTAACGGAGAGAAAGAAAGATGACGAGGTTCAGCGCGCGACACTGTTAAATATTTAAAGAGACCCGCGGCGGACAATGGAAACGGCTCGCGCGAATAAGGCAGTTGCCATTCCGAGCCGGTTGCCGTGCGACAAATGTCCCCGATGAGAGACGCATTGTTGGACATTTGTTCTCCGCGGAGAATGACACGCCGTGGGCTACTTCAACGACGCCCGGCGAAACCGCCGGCGATCGCCGATTTGAAATCGAGTTTATTGGTAGAAACGGATGGTGAAATTGAAGGTCTGAAGGTAGAATGCTCGGGGAGGAATATATGGTGTTCGGATGTTGCTGGTTAGATTGTTTTTGGATTTGAGAATTCTGGATTCAATTTGGAATTTTCTATGATATTTCGTGGAGGATTTCGATATGGAAATCAGTGTCCTTGACAGTAGAACTAGAGCATTTAATGCAATTCCTATACAAATTGTAACGATAGATTATTTTCAGTTTCTTGAGACATTCATTATAGTACTGAAATGAAACTATTTATTTTCAAAATCATTTCGAAGATTCAATGCTTTGAAAATATCAATAATTGCTAAAGAAAAAATCGAAACCAGTCATTTTGACTGGTACGGTAGTCCCAGTGTTAATTAACCCTTAGCACTCACAGAATTTTATATTTTTTTCAATGCTGCGTTAATTAGCATAGCTAAGTGTATTTATATAAAAACGCGATTTTTCGTGTTAATTTAGTTTCAACAGCAGATCTATTCTAATTTTTTTCATATTAAAATAATATTTAGCAGGGCGGATGTCATTCAATTTTTTGAAAGTTGCGCGAGAAAGTTAAAATAAAACAGACTAGTAACGTTTGAAATATTGTCTTAGCATTGCGTTATGGAGACTGAGAGTCTGGGACGGTTCAATGAATCACAAGGAAATTTGACTTTCTAATGGGCGAAATATTTCTGAATATTTGAATTTTAATTAGACGCGATAAATTAATACACCTAGCTAGAAGAGTGATAAAATTTAGATTCAGGGGAATAGGTTGCGACGTCTGTTTCATCGGTGGGGGACACTCGAATGTGGAAAAAATTGGATATGAATTCAGAAAGCTTGAATACAAAGACGTTTCGATGTATGGACACCTGACACCTGTCGTCTGGAACCTTGTGCAACATTTCATCCTCGAAGAAAGTAGGGAAACTACTTTTGTTTTAAGCAACAAGTACGCGTGTAAGAATCGTGCTGTCTTCTTGAGTCCAATCATCGTTATCTGTTTAATATAATTTAACTTTCTTAAAACTAATAACCCGTAAATAACCAATAATTCAAAAATGTTGAATTGTTAATGTCTCAATAAAATCGACGACCGCAAAATTTTATACAATTCTATAAAATGAAATGTTCATTCGAAGGGCGATCAAGAGCTAAATTAGAAACACATATTCGAATCTTTACGTGGCAGCCACGCCGCAGGGCATCGGGAAATCATGAATATTAATGAGACAAATCTTTGGTTTCCTGAAAAAATAGCGAATTAAATTAGTCCATCGATTACCCTATCAATACGATCTACATGGAACTACACTAATCCCCCAGTATCACTCATCGACCGCACACTCGAAAAATTAACACTAGAACTACCGAGCATTTCGATTAATATGCAATTCCCATAAAAATTGTAACAATTATTTTCAGTTTCTTCAGACAATCATTATAGTACAGAAGCTATTTATTTTCAAAATCATTTCGAAGATTCAATGCTTCGAAGATATCAATAATCGCTAAACGAAAAAATCGAAACCAGTCATTTTGACTGGTAGTTCTAGTGTTAAACAAAAAACGAGATTGTTAGAATAGGTGTTATATCAGACAATACCGATGTAATCCGTAGTTTCAAACGACAGGTAACCATGCCTGTGGGTCAAGGTGAACAGCTCGGTGCACGTGGAGGTAGCTGGATGCACCGACCATGAAGAATTTCGATTTTATCGTCCAGGAAACAGCGTCCTGCGCACAGGACGAAATATATTACACAGCGGTGTTCCAATTTTCCGAAAAATCTGACTGTTCTTCACTGTTAACGTTAAACATCATTAATCGTTCCGAGCGAAGATTCCCTGAAACGTACATTTATCAGTCAACCAGGTTTCGGTCCGTTGGTCACCTCCCAGTTTCCGTCGAATTCTTCTAGCCAGTCGCGTGAAACCTTCTCTGGAATGTGAGCTACGAATACCGAAGAATAAAGGTGATGGCTTTTAATACCTCACGAATGACTGGCCACCACGTGGTTATGACTTTTAAATCAAGAATACGGTTTCCTGTCGAACACTCGGAGGACTGACACTCAACGATCTTCTACATGAATATGGAAACTTAAACATAGTATTCATACAGATAAATACTACATCATTAGACTGACAAGTTTAGCAAAATTCACCAGTGAACAGTAGGAACTCATTTCGCTCATTCTGAGATTTCGCGCGACCCAAGCCTTCAAAATTCTCCTTCTCCTTTATAACTACCTCCAAACCCTTGAAGACCACAAATAATCAAAGTCGCAAGATCAAACTAGATCCCCAAACACAAAATTCAAACCCAGTATCAACCGCCAAAAAGATACTCCCTAAAACTGCCCATGAAACGCGTTCCCTCTATACAAGATTCAAGTCTATTCTTACAAGAAACTCCTAGATTCCGTCATTCAGCCCATTCCAGCGTCCAACCTCTCAATGTTCAACAACCACGAGCATCTCCCTTCGAGATTAAACAACTGGTTCACGTCCAGGAGCGACGGGTCCGATGCAACAGCCAAAAAATGCAGCGGAGCGCCGCGTTCGGAACGGTCACCTCCACTGGTGACCCGAATCCGTGGACCTACGCGGGCCACCAATATCTGTGATCGCCTAGGCCTAAGGTCCGCCCAACCGGCGCAGCCTCGTCGACTCACGAAAGAGTCGGTCGGCGGTTTGTTTAAAAAATTATCGAAGAAAGTTGTCGCACGCGGGGGGAGCGCGTTAGTGCCGCGGATGACGAGTCGCGTGGCTGCGTCGCCGTCAAACGCGTCATCGGGGCCCGGCGAGAGGAGTGGGGCTATCGGGGAGGGTCCCTGCACACCTATAAAGATAGACGCCACCGAGGGTCACATCACACTTTGCCCCGAAAATTTTCCGAGCTCGACGCGCACTACCGTGTCTCCAGAAACGGAACCAGCGGACTGCCTTCTATTCGGCGTTAGAGGATAAATCAGCGAGAGGATGAGCAAGTTAGCGATTCTGGGACTCCTGGCGGCTGCCGCGATGGCGGTGCCCATGTCGGACACCAACCACTTGCAGGGGAACAGGGACCTCGATTGCCTGGAGCAAGAGGACGCGTTGTTCAGCTGCATGTTCGTGAAAACCGTCAGCGCGTTGGATAGAGCCGCCAGGTCCACCGACATCCAGATCTTCGACGGAGTCACTTTCGTCCGGGACACGCCGAGTGAGTTGGATTTCGGAAACGTGTTTGGGAAGTTAGATCTTAGATCGGTGTCTCTGGAAGCACTTTGTAAAGGAATTTGATAGTCAATTTAACTGATCATAGATTTCTTCGTTTTCCTGAGGAATTATTATAGAAATCATTTAGCAAAGTGAATTGTAAATTAATTAAGGTCTCAATGAAAGCACTCTAGAGAGGAATTTGATAAAGTCAATTTAACTGTAGTTTGTAGAATTGTTTCTTGTTAAATTTGGGATTAAGATTTAGATGACTGTGTTAGATAGATTTCGAATTGAGTGAACCTTTGCTAGTAATATTAACAGTGGATTTATGGGAGTCGATTTGAGTTGTATTGAGTTTTATAAGTATCCTAATTGTCTACTCTTGAACCTCTAATTTCTAAGATTTAATTAACAGATAATTTTTCTAGGAACAATAGAACAATCTATACAAACGTCAGTAGATCTGTCGTACTTGAGTCACCAAGTGATACCACCTAATACAGTCACATCTAACAATTCAAACCTGCAACAATAAAAGCACAATTCAATTACATAAGTCAATACCCCATATTTTCTATATTTTCCTCAGCAAAATCGGCGCTGATCGTTAACCCTGCGGAAGATTAAACTACACAGAATCTTCTGCGGGTCCAAATTAGATATAGAATGCTTAAACAATATAGAACAAAGTAACCACATACTGCTTTCTCTCTGTTTCAATAGTTAAACCATTTGTAGCTTACTATTCCTAACATGAAACTTTGATCTCAAAACGTCGACATTCGTCCTGAAACTCCCGTCAGCCTCCAAAAATAGAAAACCTCTATATATAAATCACAATCTTAGAACCAGCGATTTGTTCCAGTGGAGCGTAGCGGGAAGGACCTGCAGACGGAGCTGGACATCATGAACGAGCTGCCACGTGACGCGTCGGACCGCGCCATCAAATTGGTGAACATGCTGTACGAGTCCGCGATGTCGTTCCTGAAGAGCCACAGCTTGAAGCTGAGCATGCCGGAGGACGGTTCAATTTCCCGCACGCTCAGCGAAGGTAACTTTCCATCTATCGCCGCGACACGGCGTTGTACCCGTTACGTAATCCGTCCCTACCATTCCCGACGGCGGTCCCGGCACGTCCGCGGCAACGTCACGGCGAACCGGTGAACAGTTCACCCGGAGAGAGCCTTTCACCTTCCACGCGCGCCGCGGAAACCTGTCTCCCGGGCGGACTCGCTCCGCCGATTCCCTTTCCGATTGAACCTCGATCCCGGGAAGAAAGGACGCTCGTCCTGGAGTTCATTCATGGACTCGGAACGTAAATATTCCACGCGAGGTGTTTGCCGAGCGCTTCACGGCTCTTAGAGCCGAGGAATTCCTGGGGTCGAGATCGTTTCTTCGTTCCCGGTATTCTGGTCACACTGGGAATTCAGACGGGAGAAAGTTTTGAACCTTAGGTTTCTAACCGGTGACTACTTCGGTTGCCGCTTTTCGATTGTACGTTGTTCTTTTGTGGCGGGATTGTTTAACGCGTGAGCGCCACGAAAATGTTAGACACTTAATCGTAGGGTTCTTTTGTAGCAAACAAAAGTAGGAACAATTGTTAATTATTTAGTGTTACAATGTTTGCGTTAGGCTATTATCAACTTAGCTACGGTATTAAACTTTGTTATTTCATGTCGGTTATCTTGTATGTCACGGTTGTTTTCCAGGCGTTCAGAAGCGTCAACCAGTGACTGACATGGCACTTAGCGTGTTAACCCTCTGTGGGCACATGTAACTTTGAAGTCACGAATCAGTATATTGGCGTCTTGTTGAGTTGTTTCATTTTGCACTCGAAGTGGCGAATAAAATGAGGTAATCGGTTAACTGCAATTTTTACACGCTCAGGCGTGAAAGTTTGACGTCATTGTAACTTGAAATTACGGAATATGTTCGTTTGATGAAATTATTGAAACTATTGAATACATTGTTTATTCGTATTCATATGTGGATGTTTATTAAGTTTGTACTGCATAGATTTTGTTATAATCGTGAAGAAAAATTCGGCCCATAGAGGGTTAAATTGATGGGTTCTTGGGATGGGATTGTGTAAATGTAATTTTGGTGATTTATGTTTGTAGGCGAATTTTGTTTGATGATCGTGGTTATTTCGTTTTGTTGAGTTGTGTGTTTAGGTTGTGTGAGGTATTGTTAATTAGGCAAGACTAGTGAAGCGAATTTGTATGTGCATAATTAACAGTGAAATTGTTGAGTTGTTGGGTTTTAATTAGCAGGGTATTTGAATTCTGGGAGAGATTAAGTTTCTCACGACTGCGTGCAACAGTTAGGTTCCAGTAACGGCTGAAATTGGTTTACAACTTCAGCAATCGGTGTAATGAAAAATCTGAAATCGGTCATATTGACCGGTCTGGTAGTTCCAGCATTAAAAAAATAATCGCCCGGGGTTCTTCGTGAGCGACTTTAAAAGCCAATTCCAGATAACGTTAATTATACTTTGCTATTTACTTGGAGCAGTTCCTTTCTTCTCATTTCTACATCAATTATTCTTCAGAGAATTCCATTATTCTCTAGAATGTCATCCCTCCTCAATTTTCCTTATTATTCAACTAAACAACCTATCAATTTCTAAAGTAAACTCACTAACATACCCACCAACCACCAAAAAGCAAAAACACTAACAAAAACTCTAAACATCATTCCTCAAAACGTTTATCAAACTATTAATCATTCAGCTCCCATTTCATCAATTCGTCTACTACGTTTACATAACAATCCACTTAATTACTTTATATAGGCTTAGGTGGTCTGATGATGGTTATTAAGTGATTAAGTGGATTTTATATAAACTTAGTGGACAAATCGATGAAATGGGAGCTAGATTGTTAATATATATATTCATTCGCTTAGGTAGTCTGACGATGATTATTTCCAGGTCGCGGCAAGATCAAGAAGATGATCCTGCCGCTGGTGGCCGCAGCCGGAGTGAAACTGTTCGCGTTGGTGCCGATTCTTCTCGGAGGCCTCAGCCTGCTGGTGCTGAAGGCCCTCTTCGTTGGCAAGATCGCCCTGCTGATCGCAGGATTGCTGGCGTTCCCTAGGTTGCTCAGCGGTGGCAGCTTCGGGCCAGCCGGGATCCTCGGCAAGAACACTCAGCCCGTCTCCGGATGGGTCGACAATGGCGGCCAGGGCTGGTCGTCGGGTGCCGTGGCTCAGTCCCAGGGCTACTACAAGAGAAGCTTCGAAACTGAAAAGGACGCCCACTCGATGGCCTACGCGGCCCAAATGCCCACGACGGAGGCGCGTTAAACGAATGATCTCGACGGCGCCGTGTCTACACGGCGGAGAACCATCGGCCATATCTTCTGAGTCTGGTCACCCAGCCTCGCGACTGCTAGAGTAGTATTTATGCATAACTGTACCCTAACTTATGGACCATTTAAATTATTCGACGAACTGTGCATCTATGTAATAAATTATTTCTAATAACATTGAGTCTGATTTATTCCTGTGTCCGTCTTTCGGGATGTATTTATGTGGCAAGTATTTATATATTTTTAAGGTTGTTGACACAAAGGGTGTGTGAAATGTTTTATGAGGATTTGAGATTGTTAGATTGGTATTTTGGGGAAACGAGACTGCGCCAGATAGAGAGAATCGATGGGTTGCTTCCTTACCACGCGTTGAAGTCACCGAGACGTATAGTGCGTATTCGTCTTTGCAACGCTATTGCGCGAAATCTGAAGACATTAATTACTCAAACATTCTATCTCCGAACGTTCCAATACTCCAAGAAGCTTACAAATTAGTCTTCATAAACATTTCATCAAAAGTTTATAACAATCTACTCCAAACTTCGGAAGATCCATATACGATCAACTCATTGTCTACTGCAACTATGGAATCCATTATAATTATACATTTGCGACCAGCGCTGAACAATTACAAACAACAGATGATAATTGCTCAATGAAATATAATTCTATATTAAAATTCAAGGACGTAACCTCACTTTTATCGCCGCGCGGCGTGTAACAGGTGCGAAGGTTCGAAAGCAGGCGCGATTTCTATTGTAATGTCGAGAAATTATTTATGCGCCGCAGTCCGAGGTGCATAGAAAACACGCCGTACGTGATTAGTTTGAGCCGGCCGACGGAATATCGACATGTTCATCGCGGAGCGCGGCGCGGCGCGGCGCGGCCGCTGGCTCATATGCGATTCCGATCGGATGCGGACCTCCCCGCGCTCTCTTTTTCCCGCGTTCTCCTTAGGCGCGAGTTCTCGTTCCATTTCGCTCCTCGCCGCCGCCACCGCCGAAACATTCGGGACACAGGTCGGCTTTTGCATGCCATTCCGTGTCACAACGCACGGACACGGAAATCTAATTTCCACCGGAGACTTATTACCCGGTTTGACTGCCGTGTATGACGGACGACGGAGAAACGCGTCGCCGTTATGGCCAGGCTAGGACCGTTTCGAATATTTCCATGTTTCTTTGTGAAGATCGCATTGTTCGCGACAATCACGCTCGCGCCGAAGTCTACCTTTTGTTGGAGTATTCTTTAGACGGTCTTACCGTGGATGGGCTTCGGGATCTATGCCATGGCTTGTCCTTTTGTGGAGGGCTCTAACTTTCTGACCGATTTAGACGAGACTGGAGTTTGTAGGGAGTTACTGGGAACAATGAGTTTTGAAGTTAGAAAATTGATAGGGAGTTACTAGGGACAATGAGTTTTGAAGTTAGCAGAAAATTGATAGGGTGGTATATGGATGTTGCAATTAATATACATTGGTTTAGAAATGATTAATAGATACAGAAGAAGATTATCAAGTTGCACTCGGAAGATCCTAGAAATATTTAACATTCTTTGACGAGAAGACGATATTCTTTGAGACTAATTATCGAGACTAAGACAAAGTATCGAGGCATAATACGAAGTTCAACATTAAATATCAGATTCTATAGTTTACTGTGACAAATCAAGTAACGAGTGAAACCTCCCGAGTGCAGAGGTTAAGCCCTTGTGAACTCGATTGCTCGTATATTCATAGGATAATTTAGATATAATCCTAAAGAAAACTGTTTTCTATTAAATCTTAGAGTTGAGTTCAAGGGTCATTAAAACATGCAATTCTATATTCCATGGAACCCAATTATAAACAATCAAGTATCACTCGCTCCTACAAACTATAACGAAACATCTCGAAAATTTCCCAAACAATCCCTCGCAAGACACTTTCAGCCATTAGAAACCCAATTAGAATCGGTGACGACCGCTCGAAAGTGATCCCGTGTAAAAGGAAAATTAGTTTCTATCGACAGACGCTACGTCACGAGATCGGCTGCTCGCAAGTGTCCCCGTATGGAGGAGCGAATTAAAATTCCTGACACCGCGGTCCTTGCACGTCGCTTGCCAAATGGTTCAAACTGGCCCCACCATCGATCGTGGTCCCACGTATAAAAGAAAAATTGCCCCTGGGGGCAAACAGTCAAAATCGTTGCTCCGGACTCGCGATACCGATATCGACGGCCACGATGAACGGGAAATTGCTGATCGTTTTGGCGCTGGCCGCTCTCGCGGTTGCCGAGGACGGCTCGTCGGCCATGGAACAGATGGAAGTTAAACTGACGAGAGCGATGGACGACTTGAACCGAATGGATACCATCAAAATCATCGGGGACATGGTCACCATGGAGAAGATGGACTTCGAGGAGGACGCCCAGACCGCCAAGACAAGCGAGGACCCTCTAGTGAGCAGAGTGGAGAAGTTCCTGAGGACTCGCAGGATCCAGATCCACCTTCCCAGCGACGGATCCTCCGCTGACATGTTCGGTCGCGCCCTGGGACAGAAAGAGTTCGGGGTCGAGCTGAGAGGACTCACCGAGGGAGCTTCCGAAGGTGAGGTCAATCATCAGAATCGTTCGAATCGATCGCGTTTGAGGATTGTTTGAGATTGGACAGTTTGACCCTTTGCACTCGAGAGTTGACTCTCAGTCACCATTTTGACGCAGTGAAATTAGAAAATTTAACACTAGGTTTACGGAACGCGTCAAATTGACGATTTTAGAAATATTATTTTGTAAATGTGTACCCCAATTACCTACTATCAAATCTCCAGTTTCCACGATCTAAATAAACGAGCATCAATTCCTTTAGGAATAATAGAATGAAGTGTATAAATTCCCGTAAACCTAGTGTTAATATTTAATGTTGAACTATATATAACGCATCGTCGAAATATTGGAATAAAGAAGCTTTGTTTCTCGATTTACCTGTGATTTCTCTTTGAATTCATTTTAAAAAACTATCGTCTTTGTCTAGTTAGTTTTGTTACTTTTCGAGTGCAAAGGGTTAAGGGTTGAATCGTCGGAATGGAAATTTGTGAGTTACTGGGATTGAATAGGTAGGATTAATGGATGAAGGTACTAAGTGAAATAATAGATTATATTGATCTTGAAGCTTGTATGATTTGATTGGATAATTTAGGGAGATCGAGGAGTTGATGGGAATGGTTTGTGGGAAAATTTATAGTTGAGATTGAATATTATAATTGAATATTATAGAGCTCCGATCAATTCTTCATATTCTGCAAACTTAACACAAGATTAACCCTCCGTGTCTTACAAACTATTTACCTGGAGACTCAACAAACCCTAAGAATCTCTCCAAATCTCGATGATCGTAAAAGATTCCTAAAAACCAATACCTACAATCCACCGCAAACTGAAATAAATTCACAAAGTACAAGCAACTCCGCATCAGAGCCATCCTGAATCCAGAACTGAAAGAAAGATATTCTACATCTGCATGGCCTCGCAAGGCAACTCTAGAATCTCCTAATTCGAAGGTGTTCGGAATTCGAGGAAGTTCCCCAGAATTCGAAGGAACTCCTTCGAGTCGCGGCGGTCAGGTCGGTCTGTGAACGGATCGCGGATCGATCGCGAACTTATAGCACCTCGCCTTTCTAAAGTCCCTCCAATAGTGTGGAAGTAAGCCACCGAGCCGCCGGACGATTGGCCGCAAAGTGGCACTTCCGGTGCGCCGGCTTCCGATTGGCCTCGCCGGCGTTCCTCTTTCTCCGGCCTCTTTTCCCGCGTCTAGATTACCTCCGGATCGTTCTTTTCCACCTTTTTTTCGTCGCGGGTCGCGTAGAAAGCTCGCGAGGATGCGTCCCACTTCCTCCGCATCCGCGAAAACATCGGCGTTCGATTGGC